GTTTCTCCTTTATTTCATTAAAAGTCGTTGTCATGGTGACGGAGGTCGATCACCATAATAACCTGTCTCTCTCTGTCTCTCGCCCAGGCTCAGCACCGTGATGAGATGTTGAGGATGTACCACGCTCTACGTGAAGGCCTCAACATCATTGGTGACATCAGCACCACCACCATCACCACGGCGATGCCTCCACCTGTCGACGACTCTTGGCTGCAAGTGACGGGGATGCCCACTGGACGCAGGTAACCTAGCAACAGGTCAGCTGCTCCACAGGTACAGTACAGTTCAGTGTCACAGAGTTGTTCCGTCCCTGCAGGTCCCCCATGTCCAGCCCCACCCCCCAGAGACGGGCGCCTCCTGGACCTCCTCGTCCCGGAGGCCGGGCTCCCCCTGGACCCCTGTCTCGTCCTGCGGTGTCACCTGAACCTGGACCTCCACCTTCTGTCCCCTACAGGCCCAACAGAGCGCCCCCACCTGGAGTCCCCAGGTAATCACATACTCAGATGAAAACCATAATACAAAAAATACGGAGATCCAGATGTTCAATGTGTCCAGTTTGATTCAACACACTTATACAAGGTAGCACAGGTTACCATGACTACCATATGTGAACATTAAAGATCAAGAGAGGAAGAGGGACTGGTCAGTTTCTTCTTTGTTGGTGCTGTTGACAGAAAGGCAGAGATCCACAAACAACCTAGAAAGACATGAAAAGAAAGACTGGTCTGTCTTTCTTTCTTGTTCTCCTCCCTCTGCTCATCCTTCATCATCATCATCATTCCCTCTTCTTCATCACCACCTCAGCACATTCAGGAACAGTCCCTGCACATGCACCTGGAGACATGTCTGTCTGTCTGTGCGATCCTGTCGGTCTAACAGTACCGCCCTAAAGAGGAATCTCAGGTGTGTCAGTATCAGAGCAGGTAGCCCCGCCCCCTCATATTGACCATATATGGTTATTTTTCAGAATCTCTATCAGTGACCAGTGAGGATTCCACCAATGGTACGTCAGCGTTCTGTGATGTCACTGTCTCTCACCAACTGTGTTCATTGTATAATTAGTTGTCTGTCCTTCATCCTGTTACCGTCTGTCTCTCTCTGTATCTGTCTGACTGTCTGTCTATATGTTGTTGTTTGTTGTCGTGTCCAGTAGGGGGCCTCCTGCATCTCCATCATGATCCTCCAGACCAGTCTCAGACTCCTCCCTCACACACACTCACACACAAAGTCTTTCAACAGGTGTGAACTGGTATAAACTGGTGTCATCAGGTTCACACCAGCTTTCCACTGGTTCCACATGTTCCTGGTTTTACTGGTCCCTGTGGGTTCTATCTGGTCCCAACACATGCCTGCTGGTTCTTTCTGCTTCCAGTGGTTTCAAACAGGGTTCCTCTCACTTTCTACTTGTCCCAGTTGGATGCAGCAAGTCCCAACTGTCTCCAGTAGGTGTCACTGGTTTAAATAAGCAACATGTTTCTACTGCTAACCACAACATTAGTTAGTTTTAGTTTCTACTGCTGCCACCTCACAGATGTCTGATGGTAGTTTTCTAATGTTCTGTATTGGTTCTGTGTGGTTCCACCACTCATCAGCAGTGTATGTTCTGTTAGCTTGCTGTGTATATCAGTGCGATCACACTCAGTAGAGATACTTAAAGTTCCACCCTCTCTGAGTCGGAAGGGTTACACCTGACGGTTTTCAGACAGGTCGGTCGCCCCCCCACTCAAATCATGAACTATCTTTATGACATCACAGAGCCAGCCAATCAGCTGTCAGCAGACGTGGGATGTGTGGTTGTTTTTGAAGCAGTGGGCATGTTGAGTTTAGTGTCATCAGCAAAAAGAGAATCTATTTGTATCTTTCCAGACCACAAGTCTGTAACGCGTGAATGTTTTGGATTGCTCTCTCTTACTAGTTCTCACTGGTTCTCACTGGTTCTCGTACCAGTCGATTGACCTCTGTTTGTTTTGATTGATTTACTCTTGTCCTCTTTTCTTTTGTCTTTCTTTGTGGTTGTTTTCTGTCTTTTCGTTCACAGTCGCTCCAGTAAAGGTAGCCCCGCCCATGGCGAGAGCCCCCAGTCGTCCATGGAAGGTTAAAAGTGTTTTCTCTGAACTGTTCTACACGTCCACATGTTGTTAATGTGAAACCTTCAAGTAATAATGATATTGATTATCAGCACATTATCACTATATAACAAATGATCAGCAAAGTACTACTGCAATATTTAGTGTTTAAATATGTCTGTCTGCTGTCAGGAGGGTGAGACAGGTCAGCTGCCTGTCTGTCTGCAACTGTCAAATTAAACAGTGTCAGAGTCATGTGATCGTACTACAGACGACTTCAGAGACGTGCAGAAGAGAAGCTGTCTCACCCCTCCCTGAATGTTTAGGCTTGTTAGCCTGTTAGCTAGCTGTCTGCATGATGTCCTAGAGTCAAGATTATTTTTTATTTAAAGTCCTGTATTAATCTCTAAAGATTAGAGAGTCAACTTTTCTTTACAGTGTAAAGTTTACATATTTATTTATTTATTTATTCTGCTGTGGTCATTAGAAAGGCTTGTTAAAAAAATATTGGTATTATCATTGTTAGCTATTCTTCAGTGTAACCAGAAATCCTTGAATCAACTGTATCCTCTGATATTTTCTTTTTTGTTTGCCCCCTCCCACTGGTTCTGACTGGTTTTAACTGGTTCTAACTGGTTTTAACTGGTTCTGACTGGTTCTAACTGCTGGTTTTAATTGAGCGAACATGAACAAGCAGGATTTACAAAGCTGCTTGTTTACTTTATGTCCAGATAACGTGTATTTATAAAATGTTCAAATGAAGTGTTTAACTTCAGTGTTACTTCAGATGAATAATATTTTATAATGTTTGATGAATGAATTCAGGAGATGTTCAGATGTTGGTCAAACCTTGACCTTTGACCTCCATGTCTTGCTATGACTTATTTAGTTAGTCGAGCTCTGAGTCCGAGCTGCGTTCAACAACGTGTTTGTAGCAGTGATGTGTCGTCGTGTTAAGCATGCTCAGCTCCGTCCAATGATTTTTACGTTGTGAATTAATAAGTGTTGAACGCAGTTCAGCCTCACTCCGTATTGTATTAATTCAAATATGTGTGAGGAGCAAATACACAGATGTATTAAGTATGCAGCAGCTCAGACTGTGTGTGTGTTACAGTGTGTTTTACAGTGTGTGTTACAGTGTGTGTTGGTGTGTAGCTGTGTTGTGTGTCAATGTCATGTGATCAACACACATCTTTAATAATATAAATAAATAAAGTTTGTGTGATTGAAGATGAAAAGTGTCGATTTTCTTTTGAGATTCACTGAAAACAAAACGTCACTGATTCAAGTGGAAAAACATTGTGTGTCCTCGGACTTCTATCTTTGTGGGGACCATTTTAATCATGGAACCACAGAGTGAGGACATTTCCACCTGTAGGTCCACACCTGTACACCTGTCTCTCTCTCACCTGTCTGTCACTGTATATACCCTACCTGTAGGTCCACACCTGTACACCTGTCTCTC